CTACATGTGTTGATGCCAATATGAAAACTCTGAGATTCTTATTGTTTCCTTGAGTCGCTTGTGAACTTCTATAACTAGGGAGGAAATCCTGAACTTAACTAAGGGAAGCGAACCCAAATTCCAACACTGGTGATGTGTGGACAGAATCGTCCTGTGTAGGTGACCCGCGATGCCTTCTTTGAGCTGTTTCCTTTGAAGCTATCGGAACTGAACGACGTGACTAACCTGAACCCAGTAAGTATACTTGCACATGTTACTGGTGTTGGGTGAGGGCAATAGTACTAGAGCCTTCATCGGCTGCGTGGCTGCTGATTGCTCATCGCACTTATCAATATAGATATTAACATATTAGTAATATCATGTTTCTAGACATAATATAAACAAATGGAGATCATAGTATATTCATAGAATGGAGTTTCACGACTACTCGTTTTACGTGAAGTGGCGTCGTTAAAACGCGATATGCGCGGCCTGTAGTAGTCGTGAAATATGTTTTTCATATCACTAGGGTGAAACTCCAATAATATGAGATTATGGTATAAAATTTAAGACAATATTTGGTAATATCGTGATATCAATATGATACTAATAAGAATGGTATTTATTACTGTTTATTAGGAATAGCAATACAACCATTTATCTCTACAGATAGAAACAGTTCGAACAATACCAGTCGTGGAATGTCAGGTACCCCAAGCTGCCGTTCCTGTTATCAAGATGAAGTTTATGGGCGTAGACGTGGACGTGCTCTATTGTGGCTTAGCCCATCCACTGAGTGAGCGACCACTCCTCAGGGGTTTATTGCATGATTGTGTATAGGTGGGCCAGCGATAGACCCAGCTGATGATAACCTGTTGTGTGGTATGGATGAGAAATCAGCACGGAGCATCAACGGGGTTCGAGTTTCTGATGCTATCAAAACTTGCGTACCACATTTCGCCCACTTCCTAGGTAGGTTAGGGTCTGTCTGTGTTCTACCTCATGGTCCCATAGGTGCACTGAGGGTGATCAGAGCCTGGGCTCGTAGACGTGGGATATACAGCAACGCCCTTGGGTAGGATGATGCTCTTCTTTTTTCGTGTTAACGCACAGCGAAGATTTTTAGATACCTCGGAGGAGTCAGCTGGGCGATATTAGTAGCAAGAGTTTGTCAGCTCTTCCCCAATATGGGGCCGTCTCAGCTGGTGGTTCGATTCTTCCGTAAGGGAGGGGTTAGTCTCGAGCCTAGTGAAAGGAGTCTGAGGACCGTCCTCGGAAATTCAAATCGATTCTATTACTTATTTTTATGAACAAATCCTCACTGTAGAGGGGGGGACTCTACTCGATTCAATTACACTCAGCATTTTCCTGTGTGATTGTGGTTGGCTCACTGTCCTCGCCTTAGGTGTGTATTCACGTTGGAACTGGGATCCCTCGGAGGGTGCTGTAGTTCTACGCCACTCCGAGCAACGGAATGGGGAGGGCTTTCAGCATCATAAAGTCTGGTAGGATTTTACCCCTACCATAAGTGTCACTATTTTCACAGGTGCCCTCCTCCCAAGAGGACCACCACGGACCAACCGCTGCCTCTTGCCGCCTCTCCAATGGCTGTGATAACCCCAGCGTACCCGTCCATGAACTCCACCTTTGGGGTTACTAGAATGTCCATGGACACCATCAAGAAGGAACTCGAGTGAGACCTCTTGCTGTTCTCGCTGAGACAGAGTGTCTTTTGCCCGGCAGGCGTGGGGCTGGAATAATATCATCTAAAGGAGTCGACTTGAGAAGTAGAGAATGCTGGGAGACGCTGCTCGAGCCAATCCATTTCTTCGATTACGATCAGGGAGGGTACAAGCAGTTCCTCCAGGTGAGCTGTCTT